CACACACTCCAGAACACAATTATTTTATATATTATGTATTAAAGCTATTAAATATTACTACATTTAAAAATACATTTATTTTTTTAGTTAATATATTTTATAAATATATTTCAAATTATTTTAGTTAAATTTAGTGTGTGTGTGTGTGTGTATATATGTCTTTTAAAATAAATAATAAATATGTTATAAATATATTTCAAACATATACACACACGCAAAACACTTATTTTATACATTATACAATTACTAAATATTAATAGGCTAATATATATTTGAAATGTAGTTATGTTTAATATTTATTTATTATTGTTTATTATTAAATACATGTATATGTATGCATTTTGAAAAATATATAAATAATATAAAATAATAGGTCAGGATACAAGTGAGCTCAGGATACATTTAATAACGATTAACTTAATAACGAAGTAATTGTACTGCAGGAGGAGCTCATGATTAAGAAATTAAGACAAAAAAACATTAGTATTGTAATTTTTTGAATTAATTTTGTATTATTTTTCTTTAATACACTATTATTTTACAATGAAATATCACAATAGAAATATTTCTTATTTTAATATTTTTATTGGAGAATATTTACAGAGGAAATACTTAAGTCTTTATACTTCAACATTTCATTCATTCAATGTGTTATTTGCCATTTCTTTGTAATTGTTTGTGAAATTTACTAGCAATTCCTGAGTGAAAATTCAGGTTAGATTGACATGAGTTAACGAATTCAACTCAAAACGCCCAGGACAAACTCAGCAAGCGCATGTGGTCAGAGCGCAGACCGTCATCTCAGCCGGATTAGCAGCAATCAGTCAGCGGCTCGCAGAGAGTCACTCATTCCTACTGCATGTTTGGGCAATTATCACCCCACGTAACGAGGACGGTCATGACAAGCCTGCAATACACCGCTAAACCACGAGCCTGAGTCATATTACAGCAGCAATCTCAGCTCACGCGACCGCCGCAGCTTTGAGAGGTCGTTATCACAGCCCTACCTGTACCACTCTGAGACTGAGCCGTTTGAACATACAGGTTGAATGCAATTATATGTTTGTTGCTGAATGCAACCAATGAAGATCACACATTGGAAAGATGCTGAGTTGTTTGTTTGTGTCTCTCTCACTGCATTCAATTTAAACTAAGCACAACTCACCTAAAGCATAAGCTCTTACGCCGTGATGCTAGAAACATACTAAATCGACATATTAATGTAGATGTTCATCGTCTGTTAGCAAATCAAATCATAATCATTTGGTTTCAATAAGAAAGCTTATTTGTATCAAGTAATACTTTGATCATAAAAGCCTAAATCAATTATTAGGGATGCACAATTAATTGAAATGAAACCGACATTGCTTTATAACTTGGAGCGCAAAATATTTATTTTTAAGTAAATATTTGCGCTGCATGTTTCAGTGTGAAGTGCTGCTGTTTTACACACGAGCAGCTCATTATGTTTGTACTTTAAAATAAAATTATTATCATTATTATTATTTTTCTTATATACTCAGTTTTCTATTTTAGTGAATTTTTACAATATAAATATTTTTGTTTAGTATTTTCATTTAGTAGTAACAACAATAATACTAATAAATATTATTCATTTTCTTATTAATAATAATTATTTTCATTTTCTTATTATTAAATTAATATTTGCACTAAATGAGCTGCTCATGTTTGAAAATAAAAATTAAGACTACAAATATTAGTATTGTAATGTTTAGAATTTTTTGTATTAATATTGTAATATTTTTCTTTAATATTCAATTATCTTACAGTGAAACATCACAATATAACTATTTCTTATTTTAATATTTTTATTTAACGTAAGCAGTAATAGTAACAATAATAGTAACAGTAAAATAATAACATAAAATATAATAATTAGTAATAATAATACTTTTTCTCTCTTCATCTTTGGCTAAATATTATTATTGTTTTAGTCATATTGCTATGTAATCACAAAATTTAAGACCAAATTGTGCAGCTCTACAAATAAGCACAGAAAACCTGGTGTTTATTTTTCATTTTCAATTGCAATTACATTTTTTTCCCCCTAAATCGTGCATTAGTCAACGTTTTAAGACTTAAGCAAGAAAAGCAGGCACATTTAGTGTGAAGGGTGAGGGGTCACGAGACATACATACTACATAGTCGACAAGATGGACGACGAGTCAAACACTTTCACTGAAAACACAGAGGAAGTGCTGCGGGTAAAATTGCACTCCTCTGACTTCATCACCCTCAAACACACACACACACCCTACATGTGTGTGTGTGTTGAAAGCGTGTAATGACTGAAGCCACTGTGTCTCTCCCCCGCACAATGTTCACATTCCACGGGGCACAGGGTGTGGAAACTGAGGTAGATTTTTTCGTCCGCAAAAATGCCTTTCTATCTATCTGTCTTGATCTGGGACTCACCCACTCCTCCTGCACTGCTGCTGCAGAGGCTTGTCACACGCCGGCCAATCTGTGACTCACTGCGTTTGCATTCTGGGAACGGTGTGGGGTCACTGGAGCTCTCGAGTCTGCATTCGTAAAGAATTCTAATAGTATAAACAGCGCGCTGGAAAGAATGAGTCAGGAGACGCTCTTAACCAGCACTTTAGAGCTCGTATTAACAGCCGTGTGAAGCCATCTCATGCAGTTTGCTTCAGCA